GCCCTCGTTTTTCAGCATCCAGGCTGAAATGAACGGGGCCTGTAAGCCCTAAGTTTTAGGCTTTTAGGCTGAATGTCCGGGACGGGCCCTGTAGGGCCCGTGTAGGTACGTAGTATGCCACACCCCCCCCTCCTTGAAGAACCGAGCTTGCCTGCGAGGGCGAAGCTGTCTGTCTGAAGGAGGGACCACAGTCCGGGTGGGAGGGGCTGGTCGTGAAGCTTCCTGAGCTAACCTGCGCTTTTCATAATGCGCGTAGATCAGCGGTGCGGATGCTTTCAAATCTGCGCCTGATATCCACCGAGTGTCGTCGCGATCGCATGCGTTGAATGTGACTTTATACTGCCGCGGCTTGCTGCCGTACTTGCGATCGGAGATGACGCGGTCAACTTCCTGATGGCCATCCATAGAAGGAGGGTCCTGCGATCGTCGGTCCGGAAAGTCGTCGCTCTTGGCTGGCGTGTAAGTTGCCAGCTTCGAGGCATGGAAGACCGGATGGACCGTCAGATGCTCTGGAATGTTGATCACAAATGAAGGGCCATCGGGCTCATCGCCCGCGGCTGCTGTCACAGACCAAGGTCCAAGTACACTTGCGTGGGGGGCAAAGTACACTGAGACGGCGTCAATGCATCGGTCGATGGACTTGTGCGTATGACCGTCTGCCAGAGTGACTTGCGTAGGCTGGGACTTCCTCCGGACACGTGGGCCAAGGCCGGCGCGTACCATGAAGTCCTGGCTGATGTAGTTGCGAGATGCTCCGCAATCGATCAAGGCACTGCAGGTCGCCTTTCCGATCTGAATGTGTATGTATAGCAATGGTGCGTCTATGTCGTTGTACCGTTGCGTCTTGAACTCGCGGTCGATCTTCGCGATGAAAGCGTGAAGGTCGACAACGTCTGCTCCGACGTCCATCAACGGAGCTGGTACTGCAGTGTGCAAGTAGTCCCGCAATTGTGCCATAAGCACGTTGCAATGCGGTTTCGACAATCGTCCGGTCGAGGGAACGGGCATCCACTGGAAGTCCGTGAACGTCAACGGATCGAGCTCATCAAGTCTTGACCATGACGTCGAATCCCCGACGATAGATTGCGGCGAAGTTGCCGAATCGGTTGCCGATGGTGATGAAACCGTGCATGCGGTGGACTGTTGCACGTGGAGCGGTTGGTCCAGCGGTGGAACCAAGTGGACAGCATAATCCTCGTAAGTATACGGAGGACTTGCGACATTCACATCCTCCCCAGATGTGCAGAAGGCCGCTAGCAAGGCGGCCGAATCTGGTGGAGTAGAAGGTGGAGTCGCCTCACCTTCCGCGGGGCTCAGTTTCCCGAGCTGAGGTGGGGTCGCACATCCTCCTTACCCTGATCTTGGCACAGGGAGGTCTTGTGCTTGGTGCTGTTGCACCAATAGCAGCTGCCGTAGCGGCCGCGGACCTTGTACTCCGCCTCGGTCAAGCCAAACTTGACCCATGGAAACTGTCCTGGCTGTCAATTTCCGGCCTGCGATGCGGATTTTGCCTTCCCATTGTTGCGGGACTTGTTGGTGCTTCGCGGCTGGACAACGGCCACCTGATCTCCGTCACTTGATGCTGGAGTGGCTGCTGGGTTATCTCCACTGTCCTGCTGGACTGCAGCGAAGTGCTGCTGTCGCGGACCAGTTCGT